CAAGTTTTGGTGGGTGTGCTGTAGTCTCCAGCTCTATTTCCTTTTCAACGAATCGATTGAATCACTTGATTGTAGATAAAATTTTACCTTTATTAATTCAATTATTGTGTGGTTTCAATATCGATCCGGTTTTGAGGCGATGCGAATCTTATTCATCTCTATATTATTAGAAAATTACTAAAACTACTGCATTTTCTGCATTCCACCGTGTGGCGCACACGCTAGAATCGTTTACTTGGATTTTTAGCTTTTTTTTCAAAATTCATGAAATCGGGTGGGTGTTTCTGGAAACGGGAAACAGCGTTTACACTGGAGTCATTGATACATCGTTGCTCATCAATAAAAAGGATAAAGGATAAAGCATTTGCCGTTGATCAATCCCTTTTTGGGATGCGGCACGCATTCTACTTCCATTTGTACATTCGTAGTGGCGTTTGAATGCGATGTGGCCTATACAATGACTTGCGGGGCCAGCCGATGTACAAGTCAGTGTTTTTATCCTCCCAGACAAGTCTGGTACCAATTAACCGACCCCGGAGGGATGGAAGGCTTGGTTGGCCCGGGCGACTCACGACCCAGGATTTGATCCCCGGACCGCTCGCGTGGTAAGCGTGCCACTTGCCACTACACCACTTCCGTTGTAGTTGGCGAGTTATTTCTACATTAAACTTGTTTATCACAAGACGATAAGAAAATATTGGGGTATTGTTCCCGAATCACTTCACAGTTTCATTCATTTCCAAAACCACACGGGTGGGCTGCGGGAATCGAATGTCCTTCGTAAAACGCTAACCAACGGACGTTATTCAATCGCCGATTTTTGTTGTCTGAGCCGTTTCGTTCCTGTCAGATAGTAGAGTGAATTTCGATAAGAGGAGTTAAAATTAAATGCCTTATCATTACAATTCGGTTTAGATGGCAGTACTCATCAAGGTAACCATTTCGTTATTTTTCAGAAATTTACCATGGATGCCACGAGTCGATTTCTTCACGCTATTACCGGATGCATCGGCGGATGCGGTTGATTTATTAGGTCATATGTTAGCGCTGGATCCCGATGACAGGTACATTGCTCTTTTTTAGAATTGAAATTTGGCCATCTGCGAGAGGGCTAGTATGAAGGCTTTGTGGGGATCTGAAGTCACGTTAAGGGACTTTTCATATCAGATCAAAATGTATTTTTGAGAATCTCCGTATCCGAAGCCCTTGAACATGCATATGTGCGAGATTGTCGTGATCCTGAAGGAGAACCAGTGGCTGATCATCAAGTCGGCATAGATGCAGAAGAAGAGGCAGCGACATCGCTTGACGACTGGAGAGGTCGTTTTTAGTCCCACATCTATTATTTTTTATCTTTTAACCCATTGCGGACCGCCGTTAGTTATGCACCTCCGTAGGTTTTTGTCAACTGTTTATCAGTAACCAGTAATCTACCAAAAATTTAATCAGTATGCAGAATATACGTGTATTCTGTGGGCAAATAAGCTCAGTGATGAAGTTTGCAAACTTGAGAAAATGCTGAATAAGTCAAACTTTTCTATCCTTTAGGTGGCGTGCTTCACATGTGGCTGCACCTGGCGCCGCAATGGGAAGGAGGGTGTGTACTATAGAATCTCTATCAAATTGTAAATAACTATCTGATAAGGTTTAACTAGTTTTGGGAAGGCATAACACTAGCTGCTGATCTGTTTTTGTTTGTTAACTGCTGTTTTTGGCCGCAGTTCGCCTTGCGAATCTTCATAAGAATGCTGGGTTGTGAACAAAACTTTCGCCCCAGGCGGGACTAGAACCCGCACCTCTCGCTTTCCGGGCAAGTGCGCTACCAGTTACGCTACCGGGGCACCATGTTTCATTTGCAGCTAAGTTGGAATGGAGTGGTGCCAAGGTAGCGTCAAACATGTAGCGCACTTTGGCGGCGTGTGAGAGCGAGAGGTGGCGGGGTTCAGGTCCCGTCGGGGGCGTAAGTTTTGTTCACAACTCAGCGTTCTTGTGAAACTAGCAACTGGCTTATTTCATAAGCGACTTTACAACGACCAGGTTGCTGTCGCGTTTAGTGCACACCGGTTGTCGCGTGGTGTCGTGTACTTTCGTTTACTAAGTGTTTTAATATTTCTGACAGGCGGTTACTCAATGTCCTGTGAGGTTCCTAACGGTTGCTCTCGGCGTCTCTTGCCACTGTTCCCTTACTTCTTGCTTTGCAATTACTTCGCTGTTGCTGTATTTCTGTAGATAACCATCGTCCTTGCTTATAAGTCTTTTGCCGGTCCTATTAGTGTTGCTTGCGTGTGCTGCTAAAGGAATCATATAGAAGACGGATGCGGAATTTACGGCTCGACTATTACAACTTGTCAGAGTTGATGTAATCTCTCTCCTTCACTATATATGCTTTCAGCTGTTTGTTTATCCACGTGCTATTTCGCAAACAATTTGTCTTTCAAGTTTTAACCTCATATGCTCTACACACGCTGATATTCGAAGAATTCTCTTGCTGTGCCATTTAGTTTCATTAGTGCCATTCACTGCTGTTGGATGGTGCTCAACTGAAATTCACCTGCCTTAATTTTCAATTGTGCTCTTGCCTGATGCCGCATAATTTCCACCGCTGCTTGTCGCCCAAAATCTACTCAAGGCACTGAAGTAAACTAACATGCGATGATCATCACCGGATGGCTGGGTGAGATGCTTTGCCACAGCGCAAACTTGCACCAGGTCTTCTCTGGCCAGCAGGTGGGCTAAGCGCTGTACAAGGCTGGTGACATCAATCGACGAGTCCTGATAAGCTGCGGTAAAGGTATCAATGAAAGTTGAGGCAAGGGAGACTTAGTGAGAACCTGCCTTGTCAAGAAGATTTCTTAGTTTGGGTCTCGACCAAAATCGAGCAACTTTTGTTAACATTCATGTGCGAAGTGCTGCGGAAGACATCAGTCCTCATGATCTTTTCGAAATCAGTAACAATCAGAAACAGAACAGATCTTCAGCGACTCTCGTCATTTTCTCTTGCTTCTATTCGTCCACTATATTCCTTTACAAGAATTAGGTCTCAAAATTCTTTCTTGTGGAGGGAAAAGCGAGGGAAAGGGAGAAGAAAAAGTTTTGGGGTTTCTGGTTATGCAAGTATTCTTAACGTCAAACTGGTTCCGACCTCGGGCTTTTCGAAACACAGAGCTCAAAGGACGGCCATCTTATGAGAGCAGTGTATCGTTTAGAGGAGTTGAAATCATGCCAATTTTTTTTTTCAGAACTGATTTGGAAGGAAATTCAAATCTTCCATGTTTGCTCACGGCGTTTAAGCTATCTGAGTGGAGCTGCAGGCGACAAACGTTCAATCGAATTAGAAGAACAATCGTCGTTTTCAGTGAACGAAGACAGTGATGTTGACGATGTAGTGGAAGAGGAAGTGTTTTGAAGTTTTTTATTCCAGGCTTAATAGTTTGCCTTAACAAGATAGCTTGGTAGGTCGCTTTCTTCAAATGTACAGTGCCGCTTACCTATGTACAGTTTCCTAACTTATTTGATATTTATTGTGTTTTTTTTTTCAAATCCTCGACGCACTTAGCTCAGGTTCTATTTCTAAAACGCTTGTAGGCTGAAAAAATTTCTATGAAATTTATTATGTGCTTTTTTTCTCATTGACTAAGTCAATTGCTTTAAATGTCAAACTTGTCATATTTTCAAATATTCCGGTTATTTTCATGGAGCTTTATTGCAACCCACTGGTAAAAGAAACCTATCCAAATTTGGAAGTGATGGCCGAAAGTTAAGGATATAGTTAACTCACCTGTTTGAGGAGTGTCAAATTATAGAGTTGGAACAGCTATTTGGTGAAGGGGTTCATGTTTTCAACAGATCTGGCAACTTTTCAAAACGCAAATTTTATAGTTTTCTATGTGAAGCATGATTCAATGCTACGCGAATAGTAAGTCTTCTGAGTAACTTATAACAGCTTGGGATTACGGTACCCTCAATGTGATCGTAATTTGATTGAAGGATAGATGATAGAGGGAACGGCCATGTGAAGCTTGATTTTGATTTTATTATATCTTACCGTAGTGAAAAAAGCCCTTGACGGTGGGCGGAAATACGTATTGTTTTTCTGGAATGTTGCCAATGATTGCGGAAGCGGTCATTCTCTTTTCTATCTATCAACACCGTGTGTGGGCTGGGCCACGTCACCGCCTCGGACGTTTGCTTTGTGTGCTCATAATGGTGAGGTCATCTGAAAAGCCTACGCCCCCCCCTCCCTCTCAGAATGTCAATACCGCGTTCTCCGGTATTTTAAATAACCCCTGCAACAACGGCTTTATTTTTAAACTTGGCGTAACCTTGGAGGAATCTCTAATTTTTCAAAAACTATTGACGGTTAAGGCGAAAATGGTCGGACCCGTGCTATTTCCCCAATGCAAGTGTCGTCAAATCAAACGATGTTCTCGAAAAACCATGAAATCGTTCTCATAATTTCTTTCGGTCGAATTAATTCTGCAGTCGTCTGTTTCCCCCACGAATTAATTGTTTAGTAGATGTGGGGCTGATATATCCTGAAAACATTCGCTTTTCGAAATATTTCTCTGCCATTTATGCGCAAAAAAAAACTTGGCATATGGCCAAAATATATAATTCAATAGTTTGGTAATATAATGCTACGGAATAATATTATTTATGTTCATATAACTTTTGAATTTTGAGATGGTCAAGCCAAAGTAAGATTAGTTGTGTCAAATAGTCAAATAATTTTGTCAAAATTTTACAGTTATGATGACAGTTCCTCCTAAAGTGTTTTATATGTTTGTTTTTTCCAGTCTTTGATGTAGTAATTGTGGCTGTGTAGTCTGCTCTCTTATTTCACTCAGACCCATTCTTAAGGGTAGGTGTTGCACAAGCGGTCAATATGTACTTGATTTTCGTCCGTGTTATGTCATCAGGTCACGGTGCGACAGTGCGCGTATCTCTGGCGTGGCGCGTGCGGCGAAATCATGCGGTAATTGATCTAGTTCTTCCGCGTAGCGCGTGGGATCCATTGGAGACGTGTGTGAGATTGGTTGTAGCTGAATAAGGGCAAAGCGTGTGAAAGGAGTGTTAATCGAGTTGGTGTATTGCAATTGCGCCGCACGCGGCGCGTGCGACGCCGCGCCGTGACTCGAGGAATTCAGTTAGATTTTGCATGCAGCTCAGGGTCGAGTAGAAGTAAGAAAGTAGACTTTTTGTGGTAGCACTGTCGGTTGCGCTTGAATACTTTACATATAGTATTCAAAGAAAATTGACAATTACGTTTATCTCCTATGTGCGTCAATACATTTGCTCCTGTTATTTTCCGTTTTCCTATGTATAGAACTGTGTATAGTTACCTAACTTTTCCTCGATGGTTGAAAGATCTCGAATTTTGCCAAAGATGGCCGCTTGTATTTTGTGATTGATCTCATTTTGAAAGTCCTTGTACTGTCGGGGATGTTATTCGTTCATTTGGATACGTAATAAATAATTTAAACGAAAAGAATCCACTGGTTTACTGGTTGGGTGCCATTGATATTTGTTCGTTCTTGTGCATGTTATTTTCACTGGTTCGTGATTTTATCGTGCGCACATCTTGCCTCGACTCCTAACAACTCAAGAATGTTGTCCAGCAACTTTGTAATGAAAGTTTTTACTCCTTCAAAGATTAAATAATCAACTAGAATGGCCGATTGAGTCTATGCGACCATCGTTTTCATTGATTTTTCTCAGATACGTCTTCTAACAAGGATTCGCTCATCTTTTTCATCTTTTTACGCAGTATACATTAGAAGGTTTGGAAAGTTTCACGCCGTTATTAGATTTGACCTCCTAAAATGATTTCATTTGTGGAGGCGGTACCCCTTGGATTCGTTAAGTGACTAGTTTAAGCCTCAGGATCCTGCTGTTAAATAAGTTTCTTATTACATTGTAATTCCTCATTCACAGCTCTTTTTCAATGTGGTATTATTCGGAGGAACCTACAGTAATCGATTTGTGATTGATGTTTGCATAATAGCAGCATCTCAGGATGGAGGGTGAACCGAGGGAGATGAAGCCTTTCTACACGGTCGAGCTGAATCGGACAGTGTGGGCGGTGCCAGTGTACTATCAGAACCTTACTCCAATTGGCACAGGAGCTTACGGAACAGTTTGGTACGTCATTTCAGAAGCTAACATCTTAATAGCAAGTAATACGTAATAAACTTATGAACTTGTATAAACTTACAAACTTATAATTCTAATCCCAAGTGGAAAATAACCTGGAAACCTTGAAAATTCTACCAAAATTTTAAATCTAAAAGTCAGGTTTTCTTCCTTCCTTTGTTTGTTTGTTTGTTTTTACTTGATTTTTTCCTTTTTTTTCTGGAGTCGTGGAGTGAGCTGTGGTCGTCGTGAGACCCAGCGCACGGAAAACCTGGCGGCGCACAGAGGTGCGTGCTCGATGAGTTCACGGCGGTAGCGCACGCGAAGGCGAGCAGTGATCAGCGCCGTATCTCTTCTACTCGTTACCGTCACAAGAATTAGTTACCTAAACTCAGCGTGGATTTGATCTGTTCATCTGAGTTCTAGTCGTGTTGGTATGATTAAATCATGTATGAATGAGCTTGTTTCTCTCTCATGGGTACGGATCTACGGCAGGCGACACTACATAGAAGCTTTATATATTGGTTTTGTTTAACTTCATAAAATTATTATCGTTTACTTGAAAATTTAAGTTTTATCCGAACGAACTTATATATGTTTGCAGCGCCGCAGAATGTTTACGAACGAACACTCGTGTGGCTATCAAGAAGTTCAATCGACCATTTCAATCAATTATTCATGCGAGGAGAACGTATAGGTGCTTAAAATATTGATTTCTCATTTTTCAGATTTTTCAAAATTCAAAATGTGAGTCGCTATGAGAATACGGCTTCCATTTCTTTATCTCTATTTGTAGCTTAATCTGTGCTTCAAACGGGATGGCATTTTTGAAGTGGTTAGCAAAAAGGGAGCAGGCGCTTTGAGAGGTAGCAAAGGGAACGGTCCTTGGGTTTTGTACCCTTCTAACCTAGATTTCTTGTTCTCTCACACTACCCTTTTACGTCGCCAGGAGTTCATTCCTGCTCCTAGTGCTGCCTTGCCTTCCTTCAAAACTAGCTCAACATTCTTACACCGATCTTTTCGAGTTCTAAGTTTCTTATTGGAGACGTGCTGGTGGTAATTGCCACTCGTGAAGCATAACCTTTTTACAGCCTATTGTTAGTAGCAGGCAGCTTTTGTGAAGTTGTACACATGAGTTTAGTCGATTGCTCACGTTAGGTTGTAGCGTGCTAGAACGAAGCCACTCGCTGAACCCTACGGGAACTTATAGCCTGCCGAGGTAAAGCCGATAGTTCTTGCCTTTCAGAAATCAAAAAACCGAGAGTAGCGTGAGTGACAACGGTCAATATCTTGGAAGGCACCACACATTTTGTTTTTTCTCAAAAAAAAAAACATAAAAACAAGAATTCGATGCATGTAATTTACAGTGACTGAGTCGCATGGACTAGCCATTAAGGCGCTTATTTTCCCAGGAAAGACTAGTACGAGACGGGATGAATGGTACGCTCAGGCCCGGGCTGAGTACAACCTCCAATTTCGGAAGTGGTTCCCTCTGCGCACCCTGCTCCGGTCTTTAGCATATGTGATTTGGATGAATTATCTGTGTATAAATTTGGAAAATATTGGTTACTTCAGAGAGCTGCGTCTTTTACGTGGGATGGATCATGAAAATGTTATCGATATGCTAGATGTATTCACGCCTGATGCCAGTTGTGAACAGTTGACAGATGTGTAAGTTTCTCCTAAAAGTCTAAGAATCAGAAACCGCTTGAAAATTTCCGTCAAAGCATGAATTCCAGCCGGTATTTCCTTCAGGTATTTTGTTTCGATGCTCATGGGTGCTGATTTGTCCAATATTCTCAAAATTCAACGACTTAATGATGACCATATTCAATTTTTAGTCTACCAAACACTTCGAGGCCTCAAGGTGAGTATTACAAACAAAGATATGGAAAGATTTACGTTGAAGTTATATTCATAATTTAATAGCTGTAGGCTGGGAAAAGAGTGTGTTGTGTATTATTTCATAATTTAGGGTTAAGAAACTGTAGAAAGGGAGAAACGTTGGAAAAAGTTTCTCCCCTTCTTTTGGAGTTGGTTCTACTTTGTAAAACCGCCACAGATTGGCTTTTTTCCGCCGTTTTTGGAAATCGATTGAGCCTACCTTTTTGTGCAATTTTTGAAATATTAGATGTATTTTTTATGTAGTTATCTAAGAAGGATACTCGAAAAAGGGATGTATCATGACTCCGAACAGTCACTACCATCAACGTTTCAGTATATTCACTCCGCTGGCATAATTCATCGTGATCTTAAGCCTTCCAACATTGCCGTTAATGAGGATTGCGAGCTAAAGTGTGGCATTGCTACCATTTTACCGTTTAAATATATTCTATATCCATCTGAGGAAACAAAGTGATTAAAAGTAATTTTGGCTTAAGATCCTGGATTTTGGCCTTGCGAGACAAACTGACAACGAAATGACAGGGTATGTGGCGACTCGATGGTATCGAGCACCTGAGATTATGCTCAACTGGATGCATTATTCGCAGACAGGTCACTTAAACGCCTTCTTTGTTGACCTCTATTTCTCTATCGCTTCATAGAAATACTTTTTGGCTTTTTGCATAAGTTTCTGAAATATGCGACATTGTGTCATGAGCGTAAAATGTTCTGGCACCCATTCTACTTTAGCATCTTCTTTTTTTGCCTTTTTAGTTATGTTCCGTTGCTTGGGTCCATCCAATCTCATTGTTTTGAGAATACCCTCACTTGATCCAGCCGGTATTATTGGCACTGAGTAGCTCCATTCCTAGCTATTCCATGTTCTTCTTTTTGGACTTCAATTCCTTTATGAACCTTTATCAGATATCAGTACATTGTATAAAAGAAATACATTACCTGCACTGATTTTTTTTAGGAGTGAACGGTCTAACAAAGATTTTTAATCTGCATTAAAAGTATTCGTTTTCAGTCGACATTTGGTCAGTCGGATGCATTCTGGCTGAGCTCATTACTGGACGCACGTTGTTTCCTGGCTCAGATCGTGAGTTTTTTTTTGTTTTAGGAGATTTTTGAATGCTCAAATTTGTCGTTTTATCACTGCTCATATGATAATATATCTATGTGGTTACTCATCTCGTCACTCTTCTTCAGATATTGACCAGTTGACGCGAATAATGAATATAGTTGGGACGCCGAACGAGGAATTCTTAGCCACAAAATTCAAGTCTGAAGAGGCGAGAAAACGTACATGTAGGTCAGGAAATTGAAGTCCTTCTGCATATGGGGGTGGCAAAGGGCAGACGCTGAAGGCAGCCATGCATCTGGATTGTTGTCTACCGAGTTTGCACATTCACCGCGCCAGGCACTTGCTCAGCAGGCACCTTAATTGGACACGAATGTAGGTGGAATACTGCCTGGTCAAACACTGAACTTTCGAATTGAAAACTGAGAAATTCTCTCTTTCTCTCTGAGTTCCTATTTCTTTCGAAAAAATTATCTCAACCATAAAAATGTTACAATGATCAATGTTCTGGAAAATCGAAATAGAGAGGATCTCTCGGTAAATTTTGTGATAAAGCAGGATTGAGGGCTCATGCCACCGATCTCTTTCGAAGTTGTTGTCTGCGGCAGGGCTTCATGTCACCGATCTCTTTTGAATTTATTGTTTACAGGAATCTTCCCAAAATGCCAAGGAAGGACTTCAAGAAGCTGTTCGCCACAGCCAGCCCTGCAGCTATAGATTTGTTGGAGAAGATGCTTCAATTGGATCCCGATTACAGGTGAGCGTTTTAGTTTATTTTTCTTTGCAAAGTGTGGCAGTTTTTACTCCTTACTCGTAACAGAACAATTTTGGTTAGTGTTATATTTCCAAAATCTCCTTGCCTTTCAAGACGAAATTGTATAAGTTTAGGCCAACTGCGGCTGAGGCTATGGAGCATGAGTATTTGGCTGCTTATCATGACGCATCCGATGAGCCGACATCAGAAGTGTTAGGATTTGGACGAAGGTGTTGAGACGACAAGTATTGACGAATGGAGGAGATTGATATGGAACGAGATTGAAGATTTTGCAGTGAGTTCCCAGGCTTTTCTTTTCGCATATGGTAGCTGTAAGTATTAGTTGCTTTTGTGTAGTTATGAGGTTATGAGGTGGATTTTTTATCCGGTTGAAGTTTCGATAAGATTTCGGCTGCTTCGTTGTTTATGTAGAGGACGACACTACATATTCTAACCAGGAAGGTCTTTCAGGGCGTGCCAAGCTTTTTCAAAACGGTCTTTTGCATGATATAGGGGCACATGCGGGAACCACAGAACCATGGTTAATTTTTCCTGAACGGCCCTCTGAATACCAGAAAAGGGGGTCCCTAGTTCGATTCCTCGTGGTGACAAATTTTTGCATTTCGAGTTGACGTTTCAAAATTCGCGCAAAATGGAGTTAGCATGAATAATTAATACCATATTCATGATTAGGACCGTCAGTAACCCTTACAAATAGACTTTGATTAAAAAACTGGTGAAAATGTGACACCAAAGTGGGGCCGTTTGGTGTCACACCTTTTTCACCAGTTTTTCAATCAAAGTCTATTTGTAAGGGTTACTGACGGTCCTAATCATGAATATGGTACTAATTATTCATGCTAACTCCATTTTGCGCGAATTTTGAAACGTCAACTCGAAATGCAAAAATTTGTCACCACGAGGAATCGAACTAGGGACCCCCTTTTTGGTATTCAGAGGGCCGTTCAGGAAAAATCATGGTTCTGTGGTTCCCGCATGTGCCCCTATATCATGCAAAAGACCGTTTTGAAAAAGCTTGGCACGCCCTGAAAGACCTTCCTGGTAAGCGAAGTGGTCCGATGCCGTGTCAAAGCCTTAGTCAGCAGTAACTTCAAATAAAACTGACTGACTGCAAGTGCTAGCTGTAAGGTTATACCCTAGCGCTCAAGCATGGCAGCGGAGTGAACAAGCGGAGCAGCGTTGTCACCCTTTTAAACTTCTCTGGTACCATTC